AAAAGTTTATAGGTATGATTATCTGCATAAGAAAATCAGAAAGATCCCAATTAAGCAACCTAATGATGCATCTCAAGACTATTGAAAAAGAACAAAAAAACAATTTCAAAACCTGTAGAAGGAAGGAAGTGATTAAGATCAGAGCTAAAATCAATGAACTTGAGATTTAAAAAAAAAAAAGAATTGATGAAACAAAGAGTTGGTTATTTGAAAAGACAAGATTGAGAAGCCCTTTGCCAGAGTAACCAAAAGAAAAAGGGAGAAAAAAAAACAAGTAATAAAAATAGAGATAAAAATAGAAGAAATCACTACAGATCTCTCAGATATTCAGCATATCATTAGGAACTATTTTCAAAACTTACTCTCCAATAAACTGGAAAGCCTAAAAGAAATAGTTACATTTCTAGATAAATATGATCTGCCAAAACTGAATCAAGGGGACATAGAAAACAAACAGACCAATAACTTGTGATGAGATACAAGCAGTAATAGAAAGCCTTCCAACAAAGGAAGACTGAACAGCAAAGGAAATAATTAGGAATATGAAGAGAGAACCCACAGGAAAAAATAAAAAACCAGGACCAAATGGATTATCAGCTGAATTCTCCCAAACCAATACTCCTCAAAGTATTCCTTGAAATAGAGATGGAAAACTTCCAAATTCATTTTATGAAACCAGTATCACACTCATACCAGCTAAGGACACATCAAGGAAAGAAAACTGCAGACTAATATCCCTGATGAATCTAGGTGCAACATTATTTGATAACATATTAACATATGGTGTTTAAGAATATATTAAAAAGATGGTTCACCACAACCAAGTTGGTTTAATTCCACAGCTGCAAGGATGTTTTAATATATATAATTAATATTGTTAAAAATGACCGTACTATCAAAAGCAATATACAGTGCAATCTCCATCAAAATACCAATGATATTCTTCACAGAACCAGAAAAAAAATCCTAAAATTCATTTGGAAGAATAAAAGACATAGAAAAGGCTAAGCTATTCTAAGCCAAAACAAAAACAATGCTGGAGACGTCACAATATCTTACTTTGAATTATACCACACAGCTGCATGGAACTCACATAAAAACACAAACTCATACATGACTCAGCAGTCATCTGATCCTTGACAAAGGTGCCAAAAACATACATTAAAGACAGCTTTTTTTTTTTTTAACAAATGGTGCTGAGACAACTGGTTATCCACATGTAGAAGAATGAAACTAGAACCTAAAAGTTTCATCCTGGACAAAAATCAACTTAAAATGGATCAAGGATCTCAGAATTAGACCAGAAACTATGCAACTCCTAGGAAGAAAACATAGGGTCAACACCCCAGCTTTTTGCACAGACAGCAACTTTCTCTATATGACCCCTAAAGCTGAAGAGATAATGCCAAAAGTTAATAAATCAGATGGTATCAAAAAGCTTCTGAACAACAAAGGAAATAATTAGGAATATGAAGAGAGAACCCACAGAATGGGAAAATGTTTTCTAGCTATTCTGACAAAGGATTAATATTTAGAATACATAAAGAGTTCAAAAAGCTTTAACCAAAAAATCAAACCAACTAATTAATGGGTAAATGAACTAAACAGGCACTTCTCCAAAGAAGAAATACAAATGGCCAACAAATACAAATCATTAGCAATTAGGAAAATCTCACACCAGTCAGAATGGCAGTCATCCAGAAAAGAAATCATAAATGCTGGAGAGGATGTGGGGGAGAAGGAACACTTTACACTGTTGGTGGGACTGTAAATTAGTACAACCACTATGGAAATCAGTATGGAGGTTCCTCAGAAGACTAGGCATGGCTATACCAGTGCTCAGTATTTGCCCTGAAGAATTAAAGGGATCTTACTATAGTGATATATGCATACCCATGTTTATAGCAGCACACTGCACAATAGCCAAACTATGGAACCAGCCCAGGTGTCCATCAGTAGATGAAGGGATTAAAAAAATGTGGTATATAAATACACAATGAAGTTCTATTCAACCATAAAGAAAAATGAAATTAGGTCATTTGCAGGAAAATGGATGGAACTAAAGATATCATGTTAAGCAAAATAAGTCAAACTCAGAAGGTCAAGAATCATGTTTTCTCATGTGGAAGCTCAAGTGGAAAAAGGAAAACAAAGGTAGGGGTGGATCTCCTAAAATTCAAAGGGAGATCAATAGAGGAAAGGGACCAAAATGTGGGAGACAAGGAAGAAGAGGGGATGAGCTGGGGAGTGATATTGCCATATTTACATTGTTAAATTATGCACATGTATGAATATGTAACAACAACTCCCACCATTATGTACAGGTATAATGCACCAATAAAAAATTTGGAAAAATAATCAGTTGATTCTTCTCTAAACTGAGAGAATTAGATTAGGTGATATAATCTTTCATCTGATTCTGTAAGGAAAGAAGGGATTTCTTTATTTGTCTTACATAGACTTATTGAGTAAGGAAGTTGTTAGAAGGAAATGAGATGAGTTATGTGGGTATTTAGATGAGTATCTATTAACTTGGAAGTGAGCATCCATAAAGCCCTTGCAGTTCTCTCTGCTTTACAACCCTTTCCTCTATATTATACAAAGTAGTAAGGATCTAAGCATATACTTTTGTGTTCACTGAAGGCTTTTGGCATGTACATCAGCTTGAATTTGTATGTAGCTGGCTACAGTGTCCTGTTTTGCTAGTCTAGAAATTCATAGCTAACTTAGGGATTTTATGTAGCATTTGCACTTCTCTATTCTTTATCAATCACTGACAGACTCATTGTTTTATAATGTACTTCTCCTCAAGCTGTTTGCGACTCATCGCCTGCCTTGCTTTATAGTCTATAAATATTTAATTCTTTAATAAACTGCTTATATGTAATATAAAATGACTGATGCTATTCTCTCTTACTTCTTTTAATATTGCTACTATTTGCAAAACAATTCTCTTTTTTTTCTCAATAGCAGTATGTTTCATTAATGTTTGACTTTCCTTTTTCTAAGTAGCAATTTATTCTGGGAAGTTGAGAGAATGACAGGCAGGAAAACAGACCTTTGCTCTTGGGATTACAGTATAAACTCTTCCCTTGTCCTCATCCCTTCCAAGCTACAAATTGATGGTATAAAGGAGATGGAATTTGGAATTGTGGCAAAGAACAATCTCCAAACCCAATGTGCAAAACAGCCTTCAAATCTGTAGACTAACTGTATTTTCACAATGAGCCAATTCTCTGACATCCTTTGTTTAGAGGAATCATAAAAGATGGAAATAATATAACAACACCTTAGTGTTAATTTTCTATTTTTATAACTTTGTACTTTAATTTTGAAATGTTGGCTGATTTACTTTCTGTACCATGAAATTATTTTTAATATTCTTTTTAAAAATCAGATAAGCCAAACATATATTTAGTGCTTATTGTGTGCCCTGTACAACTGTTAGGATGTTTTCAAGGCAGATTCTGTTATTTTTCTGATATACCAATATAATTTGAAATACCCTACACCTAGGGAAGAAATAAATAACATTTCTTCAATGCCAGGTACATTTGGAAAAATTATGGGGGAGTGAGGACAGAATATGTGAATTTAAAAATCTTGATTTATATGCTGCTCCCACCATGAATTAGGTATTTAAGCTTATTACCTATCTCTACTTAACTGTGATGTAAGCATAAAAGATTATGCCAGTTATGTAAATACCTGGCATATAATAGGCCCTCAGATAACATTAATCTCCTGTCTAAATGTTCTACTCTGTCTGAAGTACAACATCAAGAAAAAATAAAGATGAGTGAATATTTTAATGCAAAGATAGTTTTAATTTTATGTAAATAGGGCATATAATTTTATTTGTTTATATAATAGTGATGGACTACTTTCGGCAATAAACTCTTTAAATTGAGGCTCCTTGTTTAACTGACAGCACATATTTGTGAAAAGATTCATTAAGATATTTTGCTCTTGAACAAAGGTTTTTTATGCAAAACTGCTCATGTCTATCTTTCTCCTTGTTGTTATAATGTATATGATCAATCCAAGTGAGCTTATTTGCTTATACAAGTCAAATTATTCCAGCCTCATGTTCCCTGTACCTTGCCCCATTTTATATAAAACAATTCCTTATTTCACAGATATGATTCCATTATCTTATTTCATTCAACATTCACATCACAAATGTGCTTCCATTTTTATTCTTCCTGAAGCAAAATTGCTTGTGATGTTCTTAGTATAACTTTCTACGCTGTTTAAACATCATAAATTTAAACTGGCATAGTTATAACCTCAGATTTTCCTATTGAGTTCTATTGCCCTTGGTTGCACTATCTCGTTGCTTCTGAAATAGGCTTTTACCTCTCCCTTGCTCTCTTCCTGACTTATCTATGATATTGGACCCGTCTTTGTCTCATATCTGATTATTTGCTTTGCATATTAATTTTTACTGACATTTCAAGTCAATGAAATAATGATTTAATAATGGTAACATTATTGGTGATATTATTTATTGAATTATTACTACATAATAGGTATTGCTTTATGATATGTAAAATTTTTTCACTTAATTTGACTCTACAAGTTCAGAATTCCTAACTTGCAAATGAGGAAAATTAAGTATGTATGGGTTAAGTAGCTCCCTCAGAATTGCGTATCTGGTAAACAAATATAACTAGGATTCTAACATAAATCCTCTTGATTCCCTTTCATAAAGCTTTGCTATATTGCCTTTTGGGAAGTCCAGAGAAAAAATGCTGATTTTTTTTTTATTTATAAAATGATACTCATGGTCTTTCTCCATTTTAAAAGTACTACTATTCATGGAGAAAAAAAATGGTATTCACTTCTTGTGATGCCTTCTTTAAAAAGAAACTGTATATGGGAAATTACTTTGTATATTGCAAAATCCTAACTAGTATAAGTTCTAATCCTGGTAACAAGTTTGAAGCACATTTATTATAACCCTTTTAATAGTTGTGACTTTTTTATCTCAAATACAGGTTTATCTTGCTCTGTGTGATAAAAGACTTCCTGAAAAATTGTAAGTAATTTTTTATAAATTAAAAAAATACTTTTTTGGACTGGGGCTGTGGCTCATTTGTAAAATGCTTGCCTAGCATGTGTGAGGTACTGGGTTTGATCCTCAGCATCACATATAAAAAATTAATAAAATAAAGGTCCATCAACAATTAAATAAAATATTTTTAAAATACTTTTTTAAATGCACATAGGAGCCTATTAATCTTAGGTGATGCCTAAAACAAAGTAAATAATTCGTTGGTAATGTGACTGATTTCCTAATTAGGTGTTTTGAATTTTTAACATTTTAGTTTTTAAAGGAGAATATTCTTAAATAATGTTGATTGACACCTATAATCTCTTGAACTATTTCCAAAAAGATGTCATGGAAAAGCTGCTAACATTTTTTAGGCTAGGAACCATCATAATTAAGAGCTATACATTACAGAATCCTTAGGTCTATATTAATGTAAAGTCTAAACTATATGCCCTTTACATTGATGTTCAATAAATATGAACAACCAGATTTATTTCATTGGAAAAAGTAAGCACTTTTATAAATTATTTCATATATTTTATATGTGCCTTGAACACACATTTAACAATACTCAAATTTAGAAGATACCAGAAGAGGCCATACAATATTCTTTATTACCTCTCATTCATTTTCAGATAAGCTAATAGAGATTCTCTCTATTAAAATAGCATTTTTCTATGTTTTTCACAAAGATCAAAGGAAACTTTTAAATCCTCTTTGGTAATTAATACTTTAGATAGGATATCCTTCACTTCATTAAACTAAATTCTTTAAATGAATTCTTTAAACTTATTAACCCTTTATTTTAACCTTCTGGAAAAATACTATTACTGCTTCATACAAAGTTATGAAATGCTTCCATATGTGTGTAACTATCTGGCAACATACAGAAGCACTAATCATTGCAATAATTAGTTAAAAATTGTATGTTAATCCCAAAGTTGACCATTTGGTTGTAATATTTTCCATGAGATTGTATTTTGATTATGGATGTAGCACTCATTAATGACGATCTAATGTCAAAAAGAAGAAGAATTTGAGTGAGAATACAATAGGAAGCATCTGGGTAAGCTTAAAAATAGGAATCAGAAATAATTGCTTAGGGTAAATATTCTACAATTTTCTGAGCCAAATAAATACTACAGTTAACCCTGTGTATCCATGGGTTCTGCATCCATGGACTCAACCAATCACAGATGGAAAATATTCAGAAAAAATTAACATATAATACTATTTATATATTATTTACATTGCATTAAGCATTATAATTAATCTAATGATGATGTAAAGTATACTGGGGGATATATGTATAGGTTATATGCAAATACTATGCCATTTTTATCTAAGGGATTTAAACATCTACAAATGTTAGTATCCTCTGGAGGCCCTGGAGGCCCTGGGACATATCTCCCACAGATACCAAGAAACAATGGTATGTATCTAGCAATCCTGATTCAGATCCTTAAAAAATAGCAAATTCAATATATAAAGATCATGTGGCATCATGATCACCTATTCAAGTACTTGCACTAAGTCTCCTTCTACTAAAAGTTAAATTGATAGAGGTTTGGTTTGCATTGCAAATAATCTGCATTCTCAGTTAGATGGAAGATATTATAGGAAAACTAATTTCATGATCCTAATTTTGATCAATATGTAAGAATTTCTTAAGAGAGCTAGAAAAAATTTTTAACTTTTGAAGAAAGTAGTCATTTAATCCTAAAGCTAAAACATCCAGGTTTGGTGAATATTTCACATAATAAGATATATATCTTATACCCACCTGTCCAATAAATTAGCCATTAGACATATATTTAAATTTAAATTAATTAAATAAAATTAAAGGCTCAGGTTTTTTTTTTTCAGTTGTACTAGCTTATGACTACTATAAGCACATTCTATTTACATCAATGCAGAAAGTTGTTTGGACAGTGCTACCATGGATTCATAAAGGCAGATTTTTAAAACATTAAGATAAAGGGTTAATATAACTTCACGTACATAACTTCAAAAGGAAAAATCACTCAAGAAAAATGGGAAGTTTTCCAAAATAACATTAAAATGAAACTTAACACATTCAATTGTAATTGACCTGTTGCCTGTATTTAAAAACCAGGTTTTAGAGCAGGAGTATGTTTGTCTTATTTACTGTGGTATGTAGCAGATACATAGAAACTTCATAAGTAATTTATGGCTAAAATGAAGAAAATGTTGGAGAAAAAAAACAAAGGGAAAAATGTAAAAAGTAGCAATGTGATTTTATAAGGATACCTTTGATGAAATTTAGGTAATAAATGACTATATGTAAAAGACATAAGGAGGGGCATATAAGGGTCAGAATTTGGGGTTAGCTTCTATGAAAAAGAAAGAGATGGGTGCTATAGGATTTTTATTTTCTGTTAAGAGAAATTAATGTTCTCTTAAGATAAAGGGAGAGGAGTAGGGAAAGAGAGAATATAGGAATTATTCTTCAGATTTCTTCTCTCTGCTTCCTTCCATTCCCTCCCTCCCTCCCTCCCTCTCTCTCTCCCTTCTTTTTGAGGAGTCATGACTTTCAGATAAGAAAAGACAAAACTAACATTGGTTAGTAAGTTAGCAGTTCACAATCTGGCAAAGAGATTAGAAGAAAACAACAAATTATTACATTTCATCTTCTATACCAAATATATAGGTTTGAAAGGCATAGTGAGAATTTACAACTGAGTCTGAGAAACTTCCTCTGCAGTTAAGCTTAGGGAATTTCAGATATTTTTAAGAAAATAAGCAGATTGAGCTAAAAATCTGAAAAAGTGGAAAAATTATTCCTAATTTTCAAAAATGTCAACTTTTCATTTTAAAATAAATTATTTAAAAAATACTTTTATAAGCACTTGGAAGGGAGAATTTTGATCACTAGTAATAAATGTGGCTTCACAAAGAACAAATGTCCTCACTTCCTTTTCTGATGGCATTACTTCAGAGGAATTTTATATTAGGAGTAACTCTCAGAGTTGTGTTTTACCTTGCGCAAATAAGAAGCTAGGAAGTTAAGTGGAAATCTGCTGAATGCCCAGTGGAGCTTTCAACAATCTTACAGTGCTGAAAAGATAGCATTCAGGTATCAAAATCTGTCAAGGAAATAGGACCTGAGAGATGAGGGGAACAAGATGCAATTGGAGCCTTATACAGACTGTAATCTGGCTTCCAGTCAATTTGCTTTTTTATTGGACTGAAGTGATCTGGTATTGTTCTGTGCTACTGCTTCTAGAAGATATCTTCTAGAAGATATCTTTCAGAACCTCCAAAAATTGCCATATAAAATATCTGGCATCCATTCAGTGCTTACCAGGAAAATCAATAAACAGAACCAAAACACGGGGGAAAGCAGATCCATATAGAAACTTTTTTAAGTTACCAAATAAAGCTTTTTAGCTCCAAAATGATAATATTTTGGAAAACACAATTGCAATGTACAAAAAAGGAAAAAAAATAAGTGGATATTCTGAAACTGAAAAATATAGTAACCTAAATTAAATCATTGGAAAGATCATTGTTGAACTTTATGATAGATAGATCAGTTAAAAATATATATATCCACACAAAAGCATGAATAAAGGACAGATGGTACTTAAAAGACATACTGGAAATGTCTAACATAGATATTACTGGAATCCTACAAGGAAAAGAAAGATTGCAATGTAAGTAATGTTCAAATTGATAATGACTAACAATTTCCAAAAGGGAGGAAAAATATCAAGCCACAGATATCTGAGGTAGCTTAAATTAAAGGAAAAGCCTACTAGACATATAAGTAAAACTATACAAAAGGTGGAAATGAAGGAAAAAATCTTAAGTAAAGCAGGAGGGGCGGAGAGGCATATAACTTCAAAACACCACAATAAGAATGGCAGCTGACTTCCCAACTGGAATGATGGAGCCTAAACAGCAATGGAATGACACCTTTTTAAATGTTGAAAGAAAATAACTGCCAACGTAGAACTCTGTACTCAGCGAAAATTTCCTTCAAAACTTAAGATGCAATGACTTTATGAATAAACAAAAAGAGAGCTTATCAGAGCAAACTTTATCTAAAAGAAATACCAAAGGGCATTCTTTAGGTAAAAGAAAAGTGAATTCAGAAGGAAACATGAAAGTGGAGGAAAATTAATACCTAAGGATTCTTGACTACATAATAGAAAATGAAAACATCCTGTGAGATTTAAAATATATGAACAATAAAACACACATCAACAATAACCCCAAAGGTGGGAGGAAGTAAACAAAAGGATACAATTAAGCTTCTAGCATTGTCTGGGATGTGATAAATGTATAGCTGATCATTGTAGTAAATCAGGGATGCATGTTATAATATTTAGGGTAACATTTAGTAGTAAAATAATGTATTATTATCAAGCTAATGGGTAAAATTGAACAAGAATTTTTTTTTTCTTTCTCTCTCTCCAGTGCAGGGAATTGAACTCCATGCTAGGCACACCCTAGCCACACCCCCAGCCCAAGGGAAAAAAAAAACTTGTTTTAATCTTAAAAAATGAAGAGGAATGAGGGAATAAATATGACAGAACAAATAAGAAAAAAAAGTGAGTATGCATATAATTCAAAATATAACAGTAATTACATTAAATATAAAGTGATCCAGTTCATCAGTAAAAGGAATTGTCAGATGAGTTAAAAGGTAAAATCCAATTAGAAAATAAGATATAGAAAAGTTTAAAGCAATAATATAAAAAAAAATTCAGCTCTATAAAATATAATTACAAAAATGTGTTGACTTTAAGGAACAGTTAAATATATATATGGCATAATTATTAAGGTGTTAATCCAACAGAATATTATCATTCTCAGCAATGCACTTAATAAAATAGCCACAAAACATATAAAGCAAAAATTTACAAAACAAAAAATATGTACACAAATTCAAATTGGTTATAAAACTTCAACAAACCTCTCTTGATAAAAAAAAAAAAAAGAACAAGTATGCAAGCAGAGAAAAAAACTGCAAAGATATAGGTGAACTGAGCAACATGGTTATGTGTATAATGTGGACATTTACCAAAATGGACCACAAAGTAAGTCTTAAAAACAGTGAACATACTGAAATTATTTATGGTAGAACTAGGACCACAGAGATCTGGAAAACAATTTTTAAAGTGCTAGAACTCAATAACAGGAGATAATTAAAATTTTTATGGATCCCTAAAGATTTAGAATTTATATTCTTCTAAATACTATATAGGTCAAAAAGGAAATTACGATGTAAGTTTAAAAGTATTTTGAACCCAATGATAGTGAAAATATGACAGAGAAAAACTTGGGCATTGTACCTGAAGCCATGCTTAGATAAAAATGTAAAGTTTTTAAAAAGAAAACAAGGCTGAAAGTCAGTAATATAAAGACCTCAATAAAGAAATAGAATAGAAAAATTAAACTCAAAAAAGTATAGCAGTAAGAACAGAATTTAACTAGATAAAAATCTAGTGTGACAGAAATCTGTGTAATAAAGAAAATCAACAATAGAACAGTAGTGTGTTCTTTTCAAATGCATATGGAATTTTGAAAAAATAGGATATATGGGACACAGAACAAGTGATTTGAAATTATTCAGAATATATTCCCTGAACACAAAGGTATTAATTTGGGAATTCATTGAAAATAACCAAATATTTGGAAATTGAACAATGCACTTACAAATAACACATCAAAGAAATGACAAAGGAAACCTTTTTAAAATCTCAATTAAAAACTATTGAACCTACATTCTATGAAAGTATGTGAGATGCAAGTAAAGCAGTCCTTATAAAGACATGTATAGCTTTATACATCCATATTAGAAAGGATGTGTAAAATTAATTATTGCATATTCTACCTTGGGAAGCTAGAAAAAAGAAAAGAAAATTAAACCTAAATTAAATAGAACAAAGTAAATTCTGAAATTAAGAGTAGGAGTCAATTCAAACTGTAAAGCTTCTTCTCAGCAAAATAAACAATCAGTGAGGTGAAGAGAGAGCCTACAGAATGGGAGCAAATTTTTACTACATGCACATCAGACAGAGCACTAATCTCTAGAATACATCAAGAACTCAAAAAAACATAAAACCAAGAAAACAAATAACCCAATCAATAAATGGGCTATGGAACTGAACATACACTTCACAGAAGATGATATACAATCAATTGACAAATATATGAAAAAGCGTTCAAAATCTCTAGCAATTAGAGAAATGCAAATCAAAACTACTAAGATTTCATCTCACTCCAGTCAGAATGGCAGCTATCAAGAATACAAGCAACAATAAGCATTCAAGAGGATGTGGGGAAAAAGGCACTGTGCTTCGGGACTGCAAATTGGTGTAACCAATCTGGAAAGCAGAATGGAGATTCCTTGGAAAACATGGAATGGAACCACCATTTGACCTAGCTATACCACTCTTTAGTTTATACCCAGAGGATTTAAAAATAGCATAATATTTTGATGTAATACGGCCACATCAATGTTTATAGCAACACAACTCACAATAGCTAAATTGTGGATCCAACCTAGATGCCCTTCAGTAGATGAATTGATAAAGAAAATGTGGTATAGATACACAATGGAATATTATTCAGCATTAAAAGAGAATAAGATCATGGCATTTGCAGGTAAATGGAGGGAGTTGGAAAATATCATAGTAAGTGAAGTAAACCAATCCCAAAAAACCAAAGGCCAAATGTTTTTTCTGATAAGTGGATGTTGATCCAAAATGAGGGTGTAGGGAAGCATGGGAGGAATGGAGGAACTTTGGATATGGCAAAGGGGAGGGAAGGGAAGGGAGGGGGCATTGGGGTAGGAAAGATGTTGGAATGAAATGGACATCATTACCCTAGGTACATGTATAAAGACATGAATGGTATGACTCTACTTTGTGTACAACCAGAGAAATGAAAAATTGTGCTCCATGTGTGTACTGTGAATTGAAATGCATTCTGCTGTTAATGTATAACAAATTAGAACAAATTAATTAATTAATTTTAAAAAGAGTAAGTCAAAAGAAAATCAATAGCCACAATTATTTGAAAGATTAATAAAACTCATTTTTAAGATTGATCCAGAAAACAAACACAAGTCACCAATATCACAGATAAAAAGGTGACATCACTAATTAAATTAAAAGGATAAGATATTATGAACAACTTAATTCCAATTGATGTGATAACTAAGATGAAATGGACAGTTTGTCTAAAAAAAAAAAAGCTTACCAAATTTGACACAAGAAATTTAAAATCTGAATAGTTCTAGAGAGTTTTAAATTGAAATTTTAATTGAAAATTTGCCACAAAGAAATCCTCTAGGGCTCATAGCTTTACTGGTAAATTCTGTCCAACATTTAAAGACAAAATAATAACAATCTTACCCAAATTTTTTCAGAATTTAGAGGAGGGGCACATTCTCCAACTCATCCTGTGAAGCTAGCAAGACTCTTATAATGCCAAAGTCATTGTAAGAAAAGAAAATTATAGACCAGTACTTCTCATGCACATTGATTTTTAAAACCCTTAACAAATCTAGCAAGTCATATAATATATAAAAAGGTGAATACATCATGATCAAAGTAGTGTTTGTTCCAAGATTGCAAGGCTGGTTTCACATATAAATTACAATATTAGTCATTGTAATTTACAATGCTGTTAGATTAATTAAGCTATTATTTGTTTCAATAGAGACAGAAAAGACTTTAACAAAGTTTAATAACCACTCATGACTTTTAAGAAACCTTAACAACTAGAAATGGAGATAATGTGATAAAGAATGTATTTGTTAGTGGTTTAAAAAGAAAGAACTAGTGTTTCTCTCCTAAGATCATGAACAAGGCAATGATGTTCCTTAAAATGGGAAATAAGTCAGGGATGTTCATTCTCATCACTCACTACTTCTATTTACCATTTTTCTAGATGGATGCCTCACTAAAGAAATAAGCTAAAGAGAAAAATGTATTTGGCATAATTACTGGTAGTAAAGATTTAAGCAGTATATCCAGAGATGGATTTATTATGTTTACAGAAAATTATGAGGAATCTTGTGTAAAAAACAGGAGAGAGATTATATTAGTACCTTATTAAAACCTGGCCACATTATATTAACATCTGGAAGGATGAACATGAAATTGGTACTAGTGCTTACTTATTTGGGGGTGGAGTTAGGAAATCATGCTAGAAAGGACAGTAACTTTTTTTAAAGACTGAAGTCAGCATTGCTTCATCAGTGTGTTTAAATAATGAGTGCTTTTCAGTTCCCATAACACTCCACATAAACCATGCTAGAACTCTGTTATCAGACTGTAGGTGTCATGAAACATGATCATTATTTTGGAATTATACTTAAGAAATCCCTTCATGTGTCTGTTATGCACTAATATGAGCTATAGTTTAACTTCTGATCACAGATCATTTATGATCTGTTCACAATGAATGCCTATTTAACACTTTCTCACTAAACTTTTTACCTGTACAGCTATTTAGTAGTAACAGTGAAAACAGTATTTCTTTTTCCTTATTTCTCTCAAGTAATAAACAACACTCTGAGACAATAATAATGATAACAATAATAAAATCTAACATTTATTTAGTTTTTGTTATATGCAGATGCTGCACTAAATTCTTTATATGCATTGTTTCAAAATTTAATTGCCATAATCCTGACAACAGAAACCAAAAAAGAGGTTAAAACCAGAATAATGAATATTAGATAGCCATTCTGAAAATAATCATCTGTACTCTGAAGTTTTGTACACTATAACAACAGTTAATTAAGAATCCTATAACATTTGAAAAGTGTGTGTGTGTGTGTATGTGTTAAAAGTGTTAGTAGTTATAGGTGAAAAGCTGCAGAATTTAGAACATACATAAAATTAGAGAGACCAGTTCTTGATTAACCTTATGCCTTGTAGTAGAAATGTGAGCAGATATACAGATCAAATCAAAAACTGCCTTCAGATAACTTAAACAGAAGTATTAAATTGTTTTAACCTGAATTATGAAATTAATTTGAATTATATCCACCTGACCACAGGAAGAAACAAAATCTCTTTGTGACTATTGCATCTTGCTTTGGCTTTCTTTGTTAATCCTTTGAGACTGTGAGTATAGTCCGATATTTTATCAGTTTTGAATCCACACAATAGGCTCATTCACAATTTGTCTATCTCTCCTCACTGTGAACATGCACTAATCCACACTCATAAATTCATCATTCTGAAAACATGAGACAACCACAGCAATCATTACCCTGAGAATTAACCAGCATAAGAATTATCAGGCCTCTGTAATCATCCAAATGATTCCATTTGCTCTTTAGCACCGTATACTATGATAGCACCAAGAATTCCCTCTTTCACAAATACCTGGACCAGGAGGCACTCTACTGCATCCCCAAATTAGGAGTAGCTGTGCTTTTGGCTTCTGAGCTGTAGACAGCTGGGGGGTGGGTTGGGGACAGGCACACTGCCGCGGCTTTCCTCAGCCCCAGACCTAGAAGGGCCTGTCTCAGTGCCCATCTTGGTAAACCCTGATAGCTCTCTGCATCAGGAGCCCATATCTAGGATTAATGAAGCAAAGGTGGTTTCTGAAAACCTCCTGTACTACACAAAATGCCATGCAGTGGCTCTGAATATACTCCTCTTCATATGTTCTCTCTTCTCCCCTCCCTTCCATATCCGTGCCCTTGTTTAGTTGCAGTTTCCATTAGAAATGCTATTTGGGCAGGAAATTTCACAGATTGGATCCATCTCAATGCTGCCATGCAAAGAAAACACATCTGTCTGACTCTTCATTTAAAATAAGGAAAAAATTGAAATAGCAAAATGCTGTAGTCGCTCTGAGCTATTTCCTAATGAACCTGTTTGTCCCATGAGCTGTAGTGAGGAGCTTCTCCTGGGTGAGAATTCTTTATGCATACTAATATTATGCATGTTTTCCATGTGACTCCTCCTGACTTGCCCTCACCCCATCCTTTGAATTCATTTAAATAAAAATAATTTATGTGGACATTCCTTCAGTCAGGATTTTCTCTCCCCCTTTCTTAAAGACATCCATAATATTTCGTTGATGCTTTGCGTCCAAACCAAGTCGTTATGCTTTTGCATATCATTAGGGCTTTATAAAGAACAACAGCGACATCTGCATGTACCACAGTGCCAAGGAGATAGGAAAAATCCCGAAAACAAAACTCTGTATTAGCTTGGAGGCTGTCTAGCTCTGTCTCCCTAGCAGCCCCTGCCACCACCATGGATAGGAGTAATTGTACAGTGTAATCACATCATGCCTCATCTGAATATTCATAGCAGAGACAAAGCTTTGGAGAATAAGGGAGGAGCAGGGATAATTTAAATATAAAACAGCATCTCATTTCCAAATCAAGTTGTGCCAGTTAGACTGTGCACCAGGATTCAATATTAAACCAACATTGTTTTACAATTTGGAAATTGGAAGTGAAGAAGATGGAGGAGAAAAGATACGCAATAAAGAAGGAGTAGCATATTCTCATTCTTGACTGAAGAAAAACAAAACAAGACAATAACAGTGATAGAATAAAAATAGTTAAAGTGATATTTGAAGAGTCACCAACAGTGGCTAACCAGCTGCTTTTACCAGGAATGAAATAGCCTATTGAGGCAGCTTTAAAAGCCCCCAATTAATATGTTGTGCATGTTTAAGATCTACAAAGAACTCAATGTATTCCTCCTCTCCCCCCAAATCCCCCCAATACTCACATATTCCCTAACCACCACCTTGCTTTCCTGTCGGGTGTATGGGGAAAGGATCAGAGTTTCAAAATAATTGACTAATTGCTTCAAAAGTGTCAACATCCCTCTTCAAAATGAAAGAACAAAAACACATACAAAAAGGTGACTGTTCATTAATGATGGGATAAATTACCGATGGCTTCTTCATTCTCTTTAGTTCATTACCCCCCAAAAGAAATATAATCCACGTTAATATTTCTTGTCTTCGTTTTCTTTGTTTTTAATGTGATGCTCTTTATTATTTTTTTAAGTGTTGGTATTTGTAGAAGCCTCTGCCACTGCATTCCCCAAAGAGCTACTAGTTTCAACCCACTGGAGTTTATATTCCTTTAATTGTCTAGTGCAGGAACATTTCTGCTGTTTTTTAAAATATACCGCTCTGCAGGAATTAGAAGAATCCAAGGTTGTATCCAACTTCAAAGGTTTCCAAGTCATAATGATTTTAGCAAAAGTAGAAGACAGATCATGGAACAAGTCCCTGTTTGAAGATAAGCATCATAGGGACCTTTTTTTCTTCCCTCTCTCCCCAACTTTGTACTTCTCCTGGCTCTGAATGCCCCTCGCTAACACAGTTTAATGATATGCAAATGAAATATGCATAAAACCATTCTACTGTATGATGATTAAACACTGGAGACATTAACAGCGGAGGCTTCACTCTTTGTAATAATCCTTCCCGACCATCCACTTTGATTGCAGAGTTATGGAAACCCATAGCAGTTGGCAGAGTGAAAGGGAGAGAGAAGGAAGGAAAGACGCAGGGACACATCACCCATCTCGGTGCTTCTCCCACTCCAGGAGAGGTTTCCCCCCCTTTGTACTGAATTCCTATTGCTGTCTTTTGTAATCCATCCATGCAGTCGCACCAGAGCGATTAACGGGGAAGGAAAAAAAAAAAAAAAAAAAAAAAACTCTTTTTCTCTTAATGTTTCAAAGCTCATTAGCCAAACGATTATTCCTCATTAACAGCGAAAGCTCATTCATTAAAAGGACGAATATGCCCAAAAGATGCCAGTGCGGTTAATCCTGAGTCCCGTAACTGGGCTGTAAATCCCATACTACTTGTATATTCCATGCGAAAGGGACACGCGCCAATCCACATTTAAAAAAAAAAAAAGAGAGAGAGAGAGAAAGAAAAAGAAAACAGTTTGTGTGTTTTGTAAGATCCACACGAGCAGCAATTAATATTCCCATTGAATGACTTTATTTTTTTTTTCTCTCCCTTTTGTTTCCAACGCCTGCCCCTGGCTCAGCGCCCAGTGCCAACAGAACACCTTTCAGGATTCACAGCAACGCAGACAACGTAAGTACCAGCCGTTCCCTGAAACCCTTTTGCAGATTTTTTTTTTTTTAAACAACCACCTAAAACATAGAGACAAGCCTCTTTCCCCTTCTTCTCCCCTTCATTATGCCACCAGGGTTTCCTCAGTAGCCCTTCCAAATCCCTCTGCCTTCAAGTTTGTGCATGTCTGTGTGGCATCCCTCCTCCTCCTTCACTCCCATAGTGGATCTTGTAAAAGGGCTTCAGATCGGCCCCATTCATCTCCCTGGTGATAGCAGTGAATGTAGATAAATCTCTGGCTGCCTGCTTGCTGCTGGAGTATGATTTTTATTTTGTCTTCTGTGTATACCTGGGTCAAAAAGTGGGATGTATGCACACACATACATGCACATACACACCATTCCTTCTCTCTCCTCTGCCTTCCTCACCTTTTTCTCACACATGCATACATCCCCCATAGTATGTATATGCATAAACATACACACCTATGTACATATCCATACCTATAACACAAAAATATATACATATCTAAGCGTTTAATTCATCTGCAAATATGTGTATTTATATACACATACAGCTTACATTTGTGTCTATATGCAATTGATAAGTGCCTATCTTTTCATTTATACCCATCTATATCTCCATTTAAATAACCCCTCTCTTCTCCCAGCAGAGGCTGTGTGCAATTGCAATCCAAGATGTTAAAAGTGGTATTCTTTCCTCATGATTTCTATTTGTAGACCTTTATGCTCCCTTCTCTGCATCTTCAGAGCTGTAAGATTGGCTTCTTTCCCTGAGGTTTCCCGAATGGCAAGTGGCACCGGCTGTGGCATGCATTCATGCCGCTTTCTATGGCATTTCTCTTCCGATGTCTGCTTTTTCTCTTTGTTTGTTGTTGACTAGGCTGAATCGTATTGTTGTTTTTTTTTAAGTTAATTATAAACGAAGTTGAATAGCAAACAAGCCAACAGCTTGCCCCAAAAAAAAAAAAAATAGCCCCACACAAGCGCCTTCTGCTGCAACAGATGCCCAGATCACCCCTGGCATGGCAAACGGGCAAACGATTTTGGTGGTTGTTATTTTTTTCTGTTTGTTGCTGTATTTGCTGTTTGTTTTCCTTGTTTCTTTTTGATTTTTCTAGGAGTCCAGGATCCCGGCCTCTGCTTGGAACGAAACAGTGTCATGGCGGAGACGACGGCCTTTGTCTTGCTGGGTGTGAAAACATCCGCTGTGCTGGCTCCACTGCAGCAGAATCAAGTTTAAAGGAAAAAAAGTGATTAAAGTCAGCTTTGTGCCTCTTTGGTGTGGAAGACCCCCAAACCCCAAGTAGCCGACTCCCAAGGTCCGAGGAAGGGCTCATGGTTGGAGCAGCCTAGGCTGTAATCCTGGCACTTGCACCTTCGGTTGCTGCTTGCTGTTCGCTCCTGGGGGTCTGGATTATCTCCCTTGGCTTTACCGCACTGTCTGGCCCGCATACAGGGCCCGGAAACATATACCCGCTGCTGCTATCACACGAAACTGTGGCGTTGCCCCTGAATGGATGGCACCGTGCCAACTCTTCTGCCATCCGCCCTTGCAGCTTTTTTCTTTCCTCCCTCCCTCCCCTTCTTCTCCTCCTCCCGTCGACTTGACGTTAATTAACACACGGGTTAATTGATTTTAAAAGCCGAAGAATTACAGTTAACTTTTCCCACAGGGTACAGACGCCAGCCGCTTGGCACACTCTGCCTTTCGCACTGGTGCAGGGGGGCAGGGAAAGCCCGCAGCAGAACTAGCAACTGCGAGGGAACGTTGCCTGCTTATTGGAGTACAGCCGGTAGAAGTCGACGTGGCACTGCCTCATCCTTCACAATATATGTAGCCATTATATATTTTGTTAAATTATCGAAACACAACCCTGGCTTTCTCCTTCTCCCTTGGTCTTTCAAATTACGAAAGCCCTTCATAAGTTCACCTGGGGGTGGGGGGAATCACTCTCTAAGACCATTTATCTCATCTGTATTGTGCTTTTTCCAGCAATAAGAAAATAATTAGTGCCTTTAAGTTTTTTTTAATCTTTGTTTTAATTTTAAAACAGGAAGACTACACCTTCCCCAAATAATCCAGGCATAGGAGTTTGTTTGCCTTTTAAAGAAAAAGTTCCATCAAGTTTTTCTCTGTATCTCAATGTTTTGATTTGTCCCTTTTACTCTTGGCCCAAATGGGTCATTTTATGGCGAAGGATATCAGTGATAAATTAAGTAGGTTGGAATTAAGAACAAAATTCTTACCGAAGCTCTTTGTGTTTTGTTTGTGCCTATGTACATGTGTGTGTATTTGCTTTCTGTCCCCTTCCCCTCAATAAAATAAAAGCAGTTGACATTGTAGTTGGAGAGGAGACAGGCAAGGCTGGGAACTTGATGCTTTCACCTTTTCATGCTTTCATTTTATTTCATTTTGTTTTTTAAAAGCACGCAGCAAGTGAAGCGACAAGAGGAATCCATTATGCAAATCATGTCACTTTGCATAACGTCTCATGACTGGAATATGCAAATGAGCTGTATAATTTATGAGTGCCAGTGTCTGTCTAAAAGTGTTTCACATAATTTACAAAGTAAGCCTGAGAGACATGAGGAAGGCACTTCCTACAACTCCACTGCCAGCAAAACCCTTATATTTTCCAAATGCCCCGTTATAATATGGTCATGTGCTTTTTAAAAGAAACGAAGGTTCCAAACATTCTTAAGAGACAAAGATTTTTCCTCTCACTCCTGTTGTTTTTTTGGCCTAAAAGTTTGTAAGAAACTTGGACTCTGAAACTTTAATTTTTGGATTCATTTTGGGAATGATATTAATGACACATGTGCTATTTGTTATGGGTTTTCTTTTCTAAATCCAGGAAATCTTAAAGAAACATCACCTTATCCATGTGTCTGGATCCATGAATGTGGAAGAATGGACTTCTCATTTGGTTGGGTTTTTTGCCCTGTTCTGTGCAACATTTTATAAATTATAGTCTTGTACATGTTAGATATTGATATGAAAAGTGCATATCAACAAGTGGTCTTATTTTGAAGATATAATTCTGCTTTCAGAATTGTCTTCAGAAGAGAAATGCTCATCAGTAAAAATTAGGTTTTAGATGAGTCACTTCAGTTGACAACTCCAATCTCCATTTTTATAACTTTGTTGAGTAGATAATCAAAACTTTTGAGAAGTCATAACATCTTTGATAATCTGACCTTTTATTTTTCATTGTCATTATAAAATCTATGAAAAGCAGGTATAGACTGTCATGAAAATTTGTATCAGGAGGACCTGACCCTCAGAGGGCTTGTCAGAAAGACTCTTAAAGAACATACATTCAAAGTCAACTCTGAAAGTTGAGATAAGACAAAAAGAGAGAAAATATTTCCACATTTCAGTAAATCCTGATACAGGTAAAGAACATGACTGCTTTGTAGAACCAAAATAAGACCAGTGCAGAGTGTAGAGAATGGGTTATTGGATCATACATATTAGGAACAAATTGGAATGTACCATGTGAATAGGTAATTTATTCATTGGTGCCTGATCTTTTTTTTTAATGTTTTTTTTTAGTTGTAGATGGACACAGTACCTTTATTTTATTTGTTTATTTTCATGTGGTGCTGAGGATCGAACCCAGTGCCTCATACTTGTGAGGCAAGCACTCTGCCTTGGTCATTTTCTGAGTATACATGTTGTAGAATCACATTGGTCAATAGTAGCCTATAAAAAAATAACAAATTTTAAAATATTCAAGTCAGACAAAATATATTCTGTGAAACACAAATATAATTTGAACTAGAAATTAATAAGAAAACAATATCTGGAAAATTTTAAATTTTGGAAATTAAATTTATTTCTAAAAGACATGGTTTTAAAAGATAGGGGAATTAGAAAATGTTTTTAATTGAATGAAAATGAAAACACGTTACATAATTTCTAATAGGCAAAGGTTCTTAAAAGAAAATAAACTTTAATGATGTATTTCAGAAATATGCAAAATTTTGAAATAATAATCTGTATCTTAAGAAAACAATTTAGGCTCAGAACAAGTTTGAGAGGAAACTTGAACCAAGAATAAGGTAAGTTGAACTTCATCAAAATTGAAAATTTCTACTCTTTGGCAGATAATAAGTGAAAACAAATAGGCTACAGACTATGATAAGATATTTGCTACCAATAATTAGGTGGAAAATCAATCAACCTAAACCAAACTGAAAATAACACAGAAGATAGAACTGGTTGATAGTTATCATAACTGAATTCTCTATGTTCGAGAAGGCAGAATAAATCAGGAACATGTTAAGTAGGAACTAGATTTTTAAAAGGCTCTAATTGAACTTTTAGAGTAAAACTACCATGTCCGATACTGAGAAAATACTGGGAAAGATAGGCAGAAGATAAATATTTGAGAAGAAAAGATTAGTGAAATTGAACACATGTAAATACAAACAATCTAAAATAATGCAGAGAAAGAAAAATAACAAAAAATAATGAATAGAGCATCAGCAAGTCAGGGAACAACTTCACGTGACCCAATACATGTGTAATTGAAGTCCTTGAAGGGTATTCAAAGAAATAATAGCTGGAATTTTTTCAAAATTGTTGAAAACTATAAAATACAATAGGTCCAACTGTATCAGTACCAAGTATAAGACATTTAAAAAGCCAAAAGTATACTAACATTCTACATAAAAGTCATTGCAATGACAAGTTATTGCATAGAATATTTTAAAAACAGAGAAAAGGTGATACATTATGTACAAAGGAACAAAGATGAGAATGACAATAGATTTCTCTTTAGTATCAATGTAAGCCAGAAGACGGTGGAAAAAATATCTTTAAAGTATTGAAAGAAAAACAGTTAAACTAAAATTCTATATACAGCAAAAATATCTTTCAGAAACAAAGGAGAAATATAAACTTTGTAAAGGTGTGCAGAAGCAGAAGAAAATTCATCATTAGAGGAACTGCACTGTAAGAAATGTTAAAGGAAGCTCCCCAGGCAAATGGAAAATTATACCAAGTGAATAAAAAGCTTTGGAAATGGTGACATTGGCAAATTTTAACATACTTTTCCCTTATTATTTAAACTATTTAAATAAAATTGATAGTTTAAAGCAACAATAATAACATTGTTTTTATAACATATAAAATCCATGACAACAGTCACACAAAAGCTATTAAAGAGGGGTGGGGTTGTGGCTCAGTGGTAGAATGCTTATCTGCCATGTATGAGGCACTGGGTTTGATGCTCAGCACCATATATAAATTAATAGAATTTCCATCTACAAGTAAAAGAAATATATATTTTTTTAAAAAGCTATTGAAGAAAACAGAAATGGAAACATTATAAGTGTCTATATACTACACATGAAGTGATATAATATTGATAATATCACTAGAGGTAGATTATAATAAGTTAAAGGTGTATATTGTATCCTAAAAAAAATAAAGCTATAATGACAGAATTATAGTCAATAAGCTAACAAAGAGAGAATGCTTATCACACAATTAGTCAATCTAAGACAGTGAGATTAAAGATTTGCACTTACTCTTCATTAAGCATATTAAATGTAAATTGCCTAAATCCTCTAAATGTGGATTACATAGAAAAATAGCAAAGTTCAAATATAAGCCCTGTAAATTATACTTTCCCAAGTCCAACACGATATACCCAAATATGCTCTTCCATTTCCTGTAGCACATTCTAGCTAGGTATTGCCATACTTGGTTGGCATTAAATCTCTCTCCTCCCTTAGCAGGCCTAAGATTTCCCCATGAGGCTATGCCAAGAATTTGTTTGTTTTGTTTTAGTTTTTATTTATTTTTATTAGTGCATTTTAATTCTACAGAATAATGGGTTTCATTGTAGCATATCTGTAAATGCAAATAACACACTTTGATCATATCCAAGCCCCATAACCCATCCCTTCCTCTACTCCTCCTTTCCCGATCCCCTTCCTTTTCTTTAATAATTTCCTCTTTACTTTCATGTCATCCCCCCCCCTTGATTCCACATACGAAGGAAAACATGCAGTACTTCTCTTTATGAATCTGGTTTTTTTTTACATTATTATCTCTAGTTCTATCCATTTTCCTCCAAACGGCATGATTTTGTTCTTTTTCATGACTGATTTATACCCCCATTGTTTTTATTTATTTTATTTTTTGTTTTTAATTTTTTTATTTGTTCTAGTTATACATGACAGTATATATATATATATGTATGATATATCAAATGCATTTATGCATTTGATATATCATACATAGGTGAGATGTAATTTCTCATTTTTCTAAGTATACATGTTATGTAGTCATGTATATACATAGAGTAATAATGTCTGTTTCATCCTACTATCCTTCCTATCCCCACATCCCCTCCCCACCCTTCCCTCTACCTAATCTAAGGTAACTGTATTCTTCTCTCGTCCCCCGGCTACTGTAAATTATCATCCACATATTAGGGAAAACATCCAGCCTTTATTTTGTGGGGGATTGGCTTATTTCACTTAGCATGATATCCTCCAACTCATCTATTTACCACAAATACCATAATTTCATTCTTCTTTAAAGCTGAGTAACATTCTGTTGAATATATACACCAAATTTTCTTTATCCATTCATCTATTGAAGGACACCTAGGTTGGTTCCATAGTTTAGCTATTATGAATTGAGCTGCTATAAACATTAATGTGGCTGTATCACTGTAGTATGCTGATTTTAAGCCCTTTGGGTATAAGGAGTGGGATAGCTGGGTTAAATGGTGGTTCCACTCAAAGTTTTCAGAAGAATCTCCATACTGCTTTCCATAGTGGTTGTACAACCAACAATATATATGAGTGTACCTTTTTCCTGACATCCTTGCCAACATTTATTGTTGCCTATTTTCCTCATGATTGCTATTCTGAATGGAATGAGATGAAATCTTAGCGTAGTTTTGATTTGCATTTCTTTGATTGCTAGAGATGTTGAACACTTTTTCATATATTTGTTGATTGTATTTCTTCTTCTGTGAAGAGGCTGTTCAGTTCCTTAGCCCATTTATTGGTTAGGTTATCTGGTTTTGTTGTTGTTGTTATTGTTGTTGTTTGGTGTTAAGTTTTTTGAGTTCTTTTTATATCCTAGAGATCAATGCTTTATCAGAGGTGCATGTGGTAAAGACTTTCTCCCAATCTGTAGGCTCTCTCTTCACATTATTGTTTTCTTTGCTGAGAAGATGCTTTTTAATTTGAATCCATCCCATTTATTGATTCTTGATTTTACTTCTGTGCTTTAGGTATCTTGTTAAGGAAGTCAGATCCTATCATGAGCAACTTAGTCCTTCATTTATAAACACACAAAGACTACCAGGTATAAGTAGGAAATCAGCGAAATGAAAATGAAAGA